TGAGATACTAAAAAGCTTCTAAATATTGAGTGGTTTCTTTCAATAATTTATTCGTTTGTGTTGATTGTATTTTAGCAGTTTCTGCTGGTATTTCTGTATGTAACAGTAATTTGATTTTAAAATTCACTCTCATTTCACTCTCATCAGTGGACATTCCTTCTGATAGAAACTGCACATTTTACTGTTTTTTCATACAGTGTGCAATCTAAAAGTAACATAAATTGTTCCATCTAAAAACTTTTATAAGCAAAGAAAATTAAAAACTTACTAATTTTTCATAATATCATGTGATTATATTTCTTTCCCAGGCATGTGAAGTTTGTAACTTTTTTTTTTTAGTTCCAACTTTTTCAATTTTTGATTTTATTTAATTAATATTAAGAATTACAATATGTTTTATCTAATTTAAATAATGCATTTAGCTTTTCCTCCAACATTCAGAAGACAACTTTGCTTCCAAAAATTACACTTTTAATTTAGGACAATTCTCTGAATTTCTAAATGTTTCAATAACTTCATAAAGATCCAGAAATGTAGCAGCTGTGGTACAACATTAATATCAGTACTTTCCAGAAGTTACAGGAGAAGTAATTTTCTTTTGTGGTAGTTTATAAATGTTTTACATAGAACTTCTTATCTTCAAAATACTTGGCAAAATGTAACTAGCTTAATATATGACCTTTTGCATTTTGGTATATAATTATACATAGATAAAAATTGGCCTTGTCATTAAAAAGAAAAAAGGCAAAAAACATTAGGAGCAGATTGACATGAAATGTGCCAAAAATATAGGAGCCCACTTCCTTACACAGAAAGGATAGAGAACTGTAAATTGTATATTGGACAGTTATTTCAAGTACCAAGTTTTGTGTGTGCAATCTTTCCCGATATTGTGGGGAAAATGTAATGTGAAATCATGCAGATGGATGTCACTATGATTACAAAGCTGGTCTAAAGTCTGAATGAACATAGAATTTCTTCCCCTTACTGCTGTGTGGTCATAATGGCAGCAACTGCATAGTGATATGGACTGGTATGTCATGCCAAGGCTTTGACCTGACGTTGGAAATGGGCTCTACAGCTCCTGTGAAGAGATGAAATGATACAGGAAAAAACACTGAAGATATTTTCAACTCTGTTGCAATTGCAGCACCCTGGAAGTATTCTATGAAGGCTTCTTTTGTGGGAAGTTTCGTATTAATATACTTGCAGAAACATAATTTCAGAAAACATTAAAATGCATACTATTTTTTGCCCTCTCCCACTTGTTCTATGACTATTAAAAGAATAATCCTAGTAGAATCCTTGCAAATGCATTAGAAGCATTTCAAATGAACCAGAAATAAATGAGAGTAATAAATATATAAAATAAACTTGTGACAAAAATAGTTATTTACACAGCAATAAAATCTTTTAAATTGAAGTGACAAGGGGTAGTTTGTTTGTTCAGCTGTGGTAAAAGTGTTGACTTCAGTGTTGACTCTGGAAAAGGTTTAAAGATGCTGGGAACACCTTGTCAAAATTTTGCCCCATCTGTGTAGAGGTAAACCAGAGTAATTTTGTTATTTCTTTTGTAGTCCCTCTTGCTCACTGAACTAGTTTATAGTTCAGTGATATAGATAGCTGTATAACTGGGCTTTGTAGCCACTAGTGTTGGAATAAAAATGCTGCAGTATATAAACAGAACATGTAAATAGAGGTAATGTGAAACTGAAACAAATAGCAGTGTTTAAGGAGCTGGAGAAGAAGGAAGACAATTAAGAGAGTATAGTCCATGCCTGAAAAATCAAATAAGGTTTTGTCTTTAGCGCAGATTAGGCAAACTAAGTCTACTGTTGTTTCTCTAGATGAGTTTTTTATATTAAATTGTAGCACAGAGCACACATTTGCAGCAAATGATAACTTGATATAATTGTTGACCTGAAGAAAACAGTCTCTCAAATCTTGCTTCTGTAGCCCAGGCATTGCTTGTAGCATATAGTAAAAAAATGGCAGGGCAAGGGGGAATTATAGTCCTTGATAGATTATCAGATTATTACATTAAATAAAATTAAATTGGTGCTATGATTTTTTCTTTTTGAAACACAAGAAGTCATGGCTCATCGGATTTTTTCCAATTTTTGTATAGCAAATTAAAGATGCTCTTTCAAAGTACGCATAAATGTTGCATTTAGAGTTACATCGTTACTGTAATTTTTATCCAGTTACATTAAGTCTTTCCTGTCACTGTTAGTATGATGTTATTCTGTTGATTTTAGTGTAGTTTATTCTGGTTTTTGATGGTATAAATGCATGAAACCACACTTAAAATCACACTTACATGGAAGAGTAATAAAAGCATTTCTAACAGTCTGTTGCCTTCTTCAAATGTGAAACCTTCGCTGACCTAAAGGGATGCAATCCCATAAGACAAGCCATTGCACTTTAGTTTAAAACAGTAATAAATTATTACTTCTAGAGATGCCAGCACACTGCTGTCTGGAACTCTAAGAACTTCTGGTTTTGGGAAACTTGTAATGAAGAGTTTCAAATTGGCTTCCATTCTGCAGCAGGCTGATGGCGCAGTGATGGAGATCAGTGGCTCTATTCTTCTTTCAGCTCAAATGTGAGCTACAGATGAAAACAAAAAACCCTGAAGGATATCACTAAAATTTAATTTGGAAAATTTAAAATCTAGTATTCAGCAAATTTAAAGTAAAATTTAAAAAGTATAATCCATCCTGTGAGTATAAATAATAATTTCCTTAGCCTTAGTGACATGCCTTTCTCACAAAATCATCATTTAAATAAAAAGGAAAGGACATTGTGTTTGTCTTTGAAATGGATAAATTAGAAATTGAGAGAGGTGATCTTCGAAATAAAGGATGCTTTAGGGATATCACTAGCAGAAAAAGTAGCTCTGGTACTAGGTAAACAAAAGGCCCAAAGAGGATTGTGGTCCACTGTGCCGTGTTGCAAACAAGATGAAGATGTGTTATACATTAGCTAATTTGTCAGATCTTGTAGGTTTTTGTAAAGGACAATGGCACAAAAGTATAGCTGTTAGCTGCAACCTTAGCTGACCTTATCTAACAATCATGGCAAGTACCAAATAACTGTGGAGAGGAAGATAATTAAGTTCTGTATCCTAGTTATAAATCTGTGCAATGCCATTAGGGTCAGTGAGTTTCTGCAGTTTTTACAGGAACCTAATCTGGAATTAAGGGTTCAAGCCTCTGTCCTGGCGCAGGGTTGTTCATTCTGCTGCTTCTGGACTTCCCGTGGTTTCTGTTGATAGGGCGCGTGCTGACTTGGTGTGTAGCCTACCTTATTTTGACAAAATCCTTTGCTTTCAATAATGCCATGCAGAAAATGATCCTGTTGGGTTCTCAGATTACATCCATTCTTCTTGTAGCTAAAGCTGTATTTGTGAAGTACGAGGTGCTGTCTTCTGTTCTATATGTTAACATTTGGCTTCTCTTCTGCCTGCCTTTGTAAATCAATCTTATTTGAACTATAGCTGAAATGTTTTGTAGCTTCGATGTCTCTGCAAGTAGCTTTTACAAAAAACATTTTAATATAATTCCCTATAGCACTGAAGCTTCTTAAAATATAAAGCTATTGTACATCGGGGAGAATTTTGCTGTATACATTCATGCATCTAAAGACAGGAGAGGGCATGCTGTACTTAACTTGTTTGACCTGTAATGTATACAAGGAATGGGAAATTTGGCTGCATGTGTAACGACCTGGTAGCCCAGGTAATTTCCTTTATGCCGTAAATTAGGTAACTGACATTCATAATGCATAGAATCTTGCTTGTTTAGCAGTCTAGCATTATATTTGTAGAGCTACTGCTATACTAACTGGTATTACATTCACGTTCGGTGATTTATTTGACCTGGGAAGCCAAAGAATTTCTTCATTCCTAAAAGGATGTTTTCTAGGGTTCCAAATGATCTATGTTCTAGTCTTCTACTTTATTACAGTTGTGATGAATACATGATCATTTGCAATATATGTGTGTGTATATATGTATATATATATGGTGGGACATTATGTATATATAGTATATACTTCGGCATATATTGGGACATGACTTTCACTTTAGTCTGTGACTTCAACATTGTTCTGTGGCTTCACCAACCCATTTTAGAAACCTCACAAATAAATCACTGCTCATACTCATGGAAGTTATCTCCTTCCTTAGATACAAGTATATCTATAAAGTACCAGTTTGTATAGGGTATGCTTTGAACCTGTCCCACTTTTAAATAAAGCATAATATAATAAGCTAGAATTTGTAATGGCTGCCTGACACACACAAAGGTATTTTAATTAACCTGCATGCAGAAATTAACCCTTAGAGTACTGCTTCAAATTCCTCAATTTATTTTCTTATTTAATTTTACCAGTGGGCTATGCTGCTTTTCTACCCAGCTCATAGTACTGTACATAAAGTACATTAAACAGCCATACACACAAAAGAAAAGTCAGAAAAAGGAAAACAAAGCCCAAACAACTTCTTCTAAACAAGGCATTCTGTAAGACTAAGTACACAAGGTTGCTAATGGGTAATGTATTCCTAAGCACCTACTTTTTTTTTTTTTAAGGTTTTATATTATGACATGAATTAAAAACATATAATGTTTCACTGTAGCTGTGTACGCCTTAGGTTTGTTCCTAAAGTATCATAGGTATGTCTCCTAGAGAAAGAAGTCAGTTCTTTAAGGGTTAATGTGGGGTTAAGGAATCCTGAGGTATTCTCTTGCTTGTCCTTTCTTAAAGGTATCTGCATGTTAGTTCTTAGATATTACCTGAACAGGTGAATATAAAGACTGTATGAATGACTAACTGAATGAACGAAATAATTTATTTGAAATGCTTGCTTGTATCTTGTAAATGACTAGAAAACAGAAATGTGATTTCTGAATCAAGGTCTTTAACGAAATGCATAAAAATCTCACCAGAGTAGAAACTCATACTGACAATTTACTCCAATTTCTTTCTCTTTCAAATAGCCCAATAGAATCCTGCCAGAATTTCTACAAAGATTTCACATTACAGATCGACATGGCTTTCAATGTGTTCTTCCTACTCTACTTCGGCTTGCGTGTAAGTAGTGTGTCTTTGATAGCATGAGTCAGGGAGGGCATGTAGCTATTAGAGCGAGTCTGAGTACAGCCTGACTTTACAATGGCTGGACACAATTAAGCTAATTTCTAAAATGCATGAGCAAAGCATTTGATTGAGCATATTTATGTAGTAAAAATAAGCATCTAAGATCACTACGGAAACCAATAGTTTATAAGCTAAGCCGTCTGTTCCAGAATGTTCTCATGTTTTCAAATGAAAACTTTTATAGTTCAGTGCCGGTCAGTGACATCGAATCTAATTTCAATGATCTCAACAGAGTGATAACTGCCTCAGCAAGACATACTTGATCTATTCCTCTGCTGCTAGATATGTCTTTGGCAGTCAAACGTTCAGATAACAGCTGGTAGATCTGCTGTATTCAGTTTTGTGCACATCCACTTTCCCAGACTGCTAATGAATGCTTTGCAGAAGCTGTAAATACTAGTCAACATGCTGAAATGTATATCCTTAGAACATATTTTTCACTTTCTGAAAATCCAGTAATGCTGTTTCAGGATCTAAAAGTTGGAACATCTGAAACAGGTAGGCACTTTTAAAAGTTTGGCCAATAATGCTTGAAATTCATGTTCTTGGGTTTGGTTTTTTTTTTGGTTGGTTGTTTTGGGTTTTTTAAATATGCTTTGAAAACTAACTTTGCTTGTTGTTAATTAGTAAATCAGGGAAAAAAGGCCTCAAACATAAGAGAACTGCAAGGAAGACCTCATGTAAGCAGAAAGCCTGCCACATTTGTCTTTAAATTTGATACAAGTATTGCCTTATGATTTTCCTTTGTTCATTTTGCTCCTGAATCACAGGAGCTCCTACATCACAATCGTAGCTGAATTTCTCCTATTTCACTTCCGACCAACTTTTTCTGATGATCCAGTAAGGAATTCTGTTGGAAATCTAGGTTATTTCATTACCCAGTCTAGGTGCAGTGTCTATCCTTTAGCTAAATAAACTCCTTCAGTATTTACACTGCTATGTATACATTCTAAGCTGTATTTTAAAAGTATATAGTGTAATAGCCCCTAATTCTTAAGGATTTCGGGGGCTTTTGTAGATGTCCACTAGGCCTGCAATATAGGTTAGCTTTTTGACATAACAGATTCAATGCATGGTACTTGTGAACTTCCAAGTACCCTTTTTTAGACATATCCAAATGCTTTGTAAACGTTGTGCTAGTGATAAGGTTGTATGTTTTTACCAAGAGAATTAAAATTACAGATTGACTGCTTTTACTTAGAGCAGTAACTTAGGCTACATTATCAAGAAGCAGAGCATAATAAGAGAGAGTATACTGAAAAGTTGATGCTAATACTTTCATATCCACACTGTGTTTTTTGGAAGGGAGAAAGAGTATGGTGGAGTTCACTCTGGTCCTGTTGACTGAACACACTTTAGCAGTTACAGTATGTGAGATGCACTGCTAGAATACCTTTTTCAGTTTTAGTTTCAACCAAAACAGATCTTTGTCTTACCCAAAACTGCTTTGTGATGCAAACTGAAGTATGGTAAGTGGGGATGGTAAGGATTCACTTCAGATTAGTACTCCTTATCTAAGTTAAAGTGCAAATATAGGTGTAACTTCAGTTCTTCAGAAGTCCTACTGAACTGAACAGGAGTTCCTGAGGAAAAGGTGATACTTGGTTGTGTGGATGCAAGAACTGGATTTATAATGAACTTGCTAGTTATATAATAAGCATCTCTATATATATTATATCTATAATAAGTACCTTTAGCTATTTTAGGGTTTTTTGTGTTTGTTTGGGTGTTTTTTCTGATAAATATCTCCTGTGGGGACTCACTGGCAAATTAAATATTTTAAGAAATATTTTAAAATCTCACCCTTCCCCATCTGTTCTCCCCGAAATTATGTTGCAACTCAAAATCATATAAACATTACCGTATCTTCAGTTCTAGAAGGTATTTCCATGGTTATATCCATTTAAAAATCTTTGTTGGCTAGTATCCAAATATGCAAGAGCTTAGAAGTAAAGTCTGCACACTGCTGATGAAGGCAGCCCAAATTACATGAGTTAGCAGATGATCAAGCAATAGGGTCTGGCAGAGGTGTGGCAAATATGGAAATAATCCTTTGGAAGTGAGAGAATTATGCTAGCGCTTCTAGAAGAACATGATATCTCTTCCAGCATGGTAGTATTGCTTCTGTAATGAAATGGGTTTCTGTTATTCGCTAATTACCTAAATGAATAACTGTTCAAATACTTCCATAGAAAAGAATGAGTGGCCTTTACAGTCAATAGACTTTGTTTGCATTGTTGAATAACACTCTTTAACCTTTTTGAAAGCCTAAAGGTTGTGCCCTGTGGAAAGATAAAATGCTGATTAGAACATATATTGCAAGTTATGAAAATATTGATCTGACAACTTTAAAAATCTTTTAGTTCCAAATATTCTGACTACTTCTAAATTTAACAGAAGGGAATTGAAATCTTCTGCTGAAACGGGATATTTTTGTTCAGTTTTCATGCTGGAGCATTGGTATTGAGTAATACAGACAAAAAATGACAATTTATTTTTGGTTTTGAGTCTTCTCTAAAGAAAATGCTGCTGGTGTTGTCTGTCGTCTTTTTACGTATGACTTTAACATTCTTGACACCAGCAGGGTCCCCTTTCCAATGGGGATTCCAAAATCCCCTTTATCTGGGATTCCAGCAAAGTTGGTATGCACCATAAACATTTTCTATTAAAGTTTTAAAGTAATTCTGAAGCAAGGAGATCAAGTGGATGAAATAGAGAATGTCAGTATTTGCTTTGGAAGAAAGACAACGGATATTGTCTGTAATACAAAAAATACAAGCACTGTTTTGAAATATGTTAGTCCAGGCTTTGAGACTTACATGAGTAAAACCACTCCATTAAATATCTTTGTGATGCACTAAAATGTTATATTTATTTGTATATTTATATTTCATATTTATACAGGCCATATTTTTTAATTACTTCAATGTGAATAGCGGTTCAATCTTAAGCACATAACTGAATAGGCAAGTTCAAACTATGATGTCCTTGGCATGTAAGTTTGCCAGTTTCCCTGTAGTCAGGGAGAGAGAAATGACCTCATCTATGGCACAATTTGAAGGACTGAAATCCTGCTGCAGTCCTGAATTATGTTTTGTAGGAGTCACCCTGGCGATTACCTCTGGATAGGATGATAATGGGACTCTTTGTAAACTTATCATGTATTTAGAGACTTGTGAACAGCAAACACATGATGAGACTGCTGCCCACATGTTTGGTGTGCTAGAGCAAAGGTGGTATACTTGGAAATATTTTATACTTACATACACTTTTCCAATGTTACTGATATATTCTTAATAAATGTGAAGAAGATGGTTTTTAGCACAGGTATTACGACTCATTGTATAAATTATCTGTCTCTTTAGTTCGACCTTTCATTTTGATCTCAGTGTGGTTATCAAGCCATGCACAATACAGACTTCTTTCCTGTGAGACATGTAGTTTTGTCTGGACTGGCCTAAAACATCAGTTACTTTTCCACTAACTTTGGAGTTTAATATTTTAGAGTGGAAAATATTGCACAAACTTGGAAACATAGTGAGCATAATCTGATTCTTTCATTCCTCCCCCTCTTTTTTTTTTTTTTCAGTTCATAGCAGCCAATGACAAGCTATGGTTTTGGCTAGAAGTTAACTCAGTAGTAGATTTCTTCACGGTCCCTCCAGTGTTTGTGTCAGTATATTTAAACAGAAGTTGGCTTGGTAAGTAAAATAGTTTTTAATAGCTGTTATAAAAATATTCAAATTTTGCACATTTTGATGGAGAATTTCTTCATCTTGTGGCATCGCGTAAGCAGTGGAATGTTACTAAAGTTGTTTTTGCAGTGAATTTGCCATTTCAGCAGACAGATGGGTTAGATCAGAAAAGGCGCTAGGTCCATTTTGTTCTGGATTCATTAATATAAACTCCTACTCTAAGTGGTTGTGAACTCCAGCTTGGAAGTACCATGTAAACGAGGCCATTTTATAAAAACGGTGAATATAATGTAATTGTCTCAGCTTCCGATATGTACAGATGATCCAGACCGTTCCTTCACTAAACTGGATTGCCATGAATCATTGTCAACAATGAAATCAACAAATTTTCTTCACATTTTGAGCCAATATAGCTAAATTTTGAATCCACAGATTTGGAAGATTTGTTTAGACACTAGACACTAACTGGGCTTAACATTTGTGTAGGACTGCATTGGAAAGAATATGCTGCATGTAAAGTGAATATAAAATGAAGCAGAGCAGACAAAATAAATCAATTAATAAATATAATAAATTAAAACATAAATTGAAGAACACCCATAGCATGGCATACGAATTTTCTTGTACAAATAGCATATTGTGGTGGGTTTACCTTGGCTAGATGCCAGGTGCCCACCAAAGCCTCTCTATCACTCCCCCTTCTTCAGCTGTACAAGGGAGAGAAAAATGTAACGAGAAGCTTATGGGTTGAGATAAGGACAGGGAGAGATCATTCAGCAGTTA